AGAACTTAGATTTAGATGGATCTCACTGAATGCCGGTAGGAACGGATGTACACTACTTTCTCCCTTTAGTAGGCACAAAATATCTTCGAGGTATCTTTCATACAGAGACAGACACCTGACGGTTGGATTCAACGAGATTTTCTCGATGAATATGTCGGCAAGCCAAGAACCGGGTGGAGATGGCCTTGTGCTGTCCTTTTCCCGTCTGTAAACGTTATCATCGAATTAGAACTGATTGGATAGCAGAAAACCATGCGTTCTCTACGATTTCCCGCAGAGATACCATTGCTGATTTTTTTGCATTTTTATAAGCCATACAAATATAAAGAAACGCATAAACAAGAAGCTTTCGGATCCCAAGCGCACGGAAAGTCATTATCAGATACTCGTATGTTGTTAGGCGACAAACTTCGATCGAATGTGAGGAATTTCACAGCCCAAGATTATATTAGGTAGTCCAAGTCCGGAGTGGAAAGAACCGTGTCTGTGTAATGCTGGTTGTGTGGAAAATAATCTGCTGATCAGTCCACGTAAAACTACACGGTGAGGGAAGTATCTAAACTTACCTAGCTCTGTTCCATGAAGTACAAAGTTGGATTTGTCCGGGCCGTGTTCTGAAGAACACATAAAACATGTACGATCGACAAGCTGTAAGAAGTTTGTCGCTCTCTGTCGAACACTTGGAAGTCACAGGTTATGCAAAATCATCTGATGAAAGCACCACCACTAAACCACATACGCGCCAATCACTTTCAGACAAGCAATTTTTGTGCTACGTTCAGAATAAGAGGCATCGGTCAAAGAAAATTATGTAACCAATTTCGCTGCTGCTTTCCGATTGTGCATGAGTGTGCATGAGTGTGCACAAACAGAGAAACGCCTAACCAGTCACCCAGCTTTCGACCAAGGCCTGTCTACTCCGTGGTCCTTTTGACCATCAGGTTTCCAACATCATTTTAGTTGCATTTCGATAACAGACGGAACTGAGCACGCTATCTGTGGTTTGTCTCGGTCGCTGTCGCACATAAACGTCCCACATGACATGTTGGCGACATGTGTACGGCATGAGGCATTCGAGCGTCAGTACTGAGGAATAGAAACACAGAAACATGACAAGATTATTGCAACTATATTCATTCAACCTGAAGCTAGGACGTTGAATTCTGCACTGATACCATGCAAAATATTACGAAGAAGAAATTGAGTAATTTTTTTCAAAATACGCTGAGAATCAACGGAAAAACTGAGTGTCGATCTACCGCAGAAATAAGTGAAAATAACCGGGTGAAATATCTGAACATACGGTAGAGAAGGAAATCAAGAAGTATCAATTAAAATTAGAGGGTAATAAACGTGGATTAAAATAACAGTGTCTGGTTTAGCGATCAGCGAAAGAAGAACTAATTTGTGAATGAGGTGATACTTTTGTTTGACGCGTCAGTTCTCTGTCATGTCCAATGCAATGATTTCACGAAGCATACAAATTCAAATAATACAAAGACCTCACAATGATGTGCAAATGACGTTACCATTTATCGTGATGTCGTTGGTGGCAGAAAGAATTAGTACGAGATATTATAAATGACTACCCGATGGAAAGTATAAACCATTCAATTTATCCACAGACCCACGGCACTCTCATGCTTATTGGCTACTGGCTATTGTTCCAGTAGTAGGGACTGAAATGCGATTGATATGGATTGTCACTGGAAGCAGTTTAGTGGTCAAGTGTAGAATGGTTGGGCGGAGGAGCACCTGGTACGCTCATTAGATGGGCTGTAACAACCGAAAAACCAGCCGTGTTCATTTTTGACAATTTTATCCTGTCATCCATACACAGTGGCATACTGCTCATGCCAAATTATTTGAATGCAGTTAATCTGGTGTGTTTTGTGTTTTGATCATTTCCTGTTAAATTTTGTTAGTTTTCGTTTGACTGACTGTCCTTTTGGACTCCACGTTTCACGCGGAAACCTCAGGGCATCCAAGCAACCTGCATTTGGAAGCACCAGACCTGACGTTTGCTCTTGTTAGAGCTCATCAGTGGTGCATTTCCTCCGCCAAACCCAGGGTGATTTCCGTACCGGACAACGGAGATCAAATCCGTTTTTTTAGCGGCTCATCGCATTCAACACAAAGTAGGTTAAGTCATAAACATGTAAATTGTTCATATTAAAGACAAACAAGATATGAAAGTGCTTGTCGCAGATCAGTCTTTCAGCCAGGATAATCAATATATGTGGTGCACTGATTTGTTCATAACTTACTAATGCCATTTTCAAGCAACAAATCGTGCTACATAGTTCACGTCAGCGACAAAAATGTTTGTATAATCGTAGTTATCTACATTTACGCGGGTTATTTTCCTATGATTTATTTGTTTTTCATAAATCAGTGTGCATTTTGATCCACTTTCTGGAATTCTTCGAAGTTAGGATAACCATTTGAAACGTCAATTCAAAGTTCTCCAAATCGGACGCAATGCTGTTTGCATATCTGGAAGGTCCACATTTGGAATCATATGGCGGTTCCCCCAACGTCAGTTCTTTGACTGAAACGGGGAAGGTTTCTCTTATCATCCAAATACAATTCCATCCTAATCATATCGAGATTCATGATGACTTTATCTACCGCATCGTGCGTGTATCCTCGAGTCACTCAGTCAGCACCCGAGTCACCTATGTTAAACTCAAGTGCGTATTCAAATTCAGGTTTTCAAAGCATTGCTAGTAACGGAGAAGACTGGTCTTTTTTAAAATACCTCTGAACAAATACACATAGAATCCACTCTCAGCTCCATCCACTTTAAAAGTCACTTTTGCTTGAACATGTTCATTACGCAGTTCTGTGAGTAGGATTTGATGCAGTTGAGAAGATTTCGAATGAATTTCGCCGTTTATTGCAGAGCAAACTCAAGTATATTCAAATCAGAATTGTTTTTATCAGATGAGAAGGCACAATCGCGGTTAGGACAAAACGCAGCGAAATCAAGGAATTAACATCAGCCAGGAGTTATGTAGCGTCAGATGCTACAGAATGACCGGGTTGCAATGGATGTGCGAGAGAAGGGATTGAGACCTTGGTATGATGATCTAGTGCGACGATATAGCCACATAAAAAATAGGGAAATTATACATTTTTATAAAATATCAAATGTATGAACTCATCACTCCTACCAATCCGGAATACGGATAGGGTATTTGAATAATAAAGAAATGAAATGAAGTAATGCAGAATGAGGTTCCATTTCTCGACTTGAACTATGTAAACCTGTGTAATAAACTAATGACAAACGAAATTAGTGGAATAGTATAGAGTTGGTAGTGGAAGATTCAACTGCACAAAATGAGATCTTCTGATGGACGATTACGGTAATTTAATTCCATTTGATGAATCATTTAAAAGTCAAATGGAATCTCCAGCTGTTCACTTTGAATACTTATCGAAGCTCTCTCTTTAAGTTGTTTGCAACGTAACGGCTTTGTTTCCACGAACTCTCCCTGCGAATTCGTTGATCCTAGGAGTCGATTGTTGTGCGGTCAACGGGTTGTTAACACTGAAATACCAGTGATGGAACGACGCTGTGTCATGTACTTGCAATGTTGAGAGCTAGATAGCTTGGTTGTTAGGTGTTCAACTCATGATCGTCTATTCACGGGATAGAGTCACAATAATGACTCGATGTTCGGTTGCCGAATACAGAAAAACGCTGAGCATCTTCAACGCGAATTGACCAGGTCTTGCATTCGCAGATCAAAACACTACGAACAGGTGTTACAAATTTGCGAAAGCTGCGCTAGCTCCTGCAACGCGTGAATTGATCTCCTCCCCCGCTGTTGTCAAGCTCCCAAGGCACTTGACGTTGTCAACTAACTGGAGCTGATCACCACAAGCGGTGAGTGCGGACACGGGCATTTCGGGAAAGTTTGTTTTATTCCTGTCAGTGTGAGCAGGAATGCAATACATGGTCTAGCCTTGTCCAACTAAGGCTGACTGGGGATTCTCGAAACAATGCCGTTTTTCCCAGAGCGGATTTTACTCCGCGCCTAACTACGAGTAACAATTCCAGCTACAGGGGTTTAGTGGTCTGTGTGCGAACCACAGATTTGCTGCAGTGCTAACACTAGCAGAGGTGGCCGTGAAAGCAGTGACAAGGGCAACTTTAATAATAATTACAAGACAGGCTTTGGCGTGCCAGGAAGTTGGGCATGAGGTTTGGTTGCCCAGTTATTTTAAAACTGTCGCGCACCAGCGTCTTTGGAGGCTAACTTCTAAGCGGTGCCTCTGATTCCAGCGAATTCATGCCATATTTATCTAGCAGAGAAGACACTATCCCCCAGCAGGATCAAATCGCGTATTATAGAGAAGGCAGTTTTGTGGAATCATTGTTCTTTCTATTCATTGAACTAACATGCCTAATGAGAAAGGATACTATTCATAAACTGTTATCAAAATAGGTGGTGGAATGTTAGTGTTTATGTTTTTGTGTGCGTGCGTGTCTAGAGCGGTCGGTGAGGGAGGGAGGGAGGTTGAGTGGGTGAGGTTTGATAATCAGATGGACGAGTTTAGAAATGACGACTGAGCAGTTGATGCGGTACGGCTGGATAGGGAAACGATCATTTTTGACTGATTGCAATGCGGGCGCATCTCAACTGCACCTACAGTTTGCAGTAGGGAGAAGTAGTTTGGTCGAGAGCAGCGTGTCCTCTCATTGGTTTCGGGCTGGACGATGTCATGGATTCACTGAGGTAGGATCTGAGCTAAGTTGTGCGTTCGGAACTGAGCTGATGCGTGGTTAGATGAATGAATGTTGTCAACAATTGCTGAGAGGCGAACGGGTTCAGGAGGGGGGAAAAGGACGACAATCTGTTCCCCGTTCCGGTTTGAATAATGCAAGCAGTGAAATAATTTGGAATGATACAAGTGTTCGAGGAAGAATATGAAAGAATCGTCTGGAGAGATAATGAAGGGGAGTATGGATCACTGTGCTTGCAGCGTGTTTAAACACTGATTTTTTCGCGTCCATTGGCGATTGTGAACATGAGTTCTTCACCTTTAAATAAAAATGATAATAGACTGATTTCCAATATCCCATGGGATAAGAGAAACCGGGCGTGTCATTTCAGTTCTCGTACATCTAGATACACTTGACACGGTTGATGCCTCTACTCAAGGTACAGTGGACAAACTTTTCATATTAGTCGAATTCCATCCCGCCACTGATAGCTAACTCTTTTGCGCGTTGTAGCTAATAGATTAATGTTAGATCTGTCCGTCGTCGGATGATGGCTTGGGATATGGCTTAGAATAATTGTGCATTGTAGCTTCCGGAACCAACCACAATACTACAGACTGGCTCAGCCATGTTCCCTTTATTGCATCCACACTATTAGTAAGTCGTATTGCAGTAGTGAGTTCTTTACTTTGTTGCTATGCACACACGGTCAGTCATAGTCAGTCAAAGTTGAAATCGGTGCAATAATAATTTTTGCGTTACGTCGAAGCAAAGAGGATCTGATAACATCATCATACTTACGTTGCAAGTAGTGGACAAGTGCGTAATCGTCAACGTCATAAGCTAAACGCCTAGGTCGTTTCCCATGGGCGTCACGCGCAGTTGGGCATGCACCGGCTTCAAGCAGTATTTGACAAATGCTACGGCGGCGATAGACGGCAGCTTTATGCAAGGCGGTTTGTTTTCTGATCACGAGAGGAGCACATATTAGGAAAGGAGAATGAACAGAATATCATGCGGAACTGGAGACTAAATCGGAGAGTCCAAGTAAGACACCATTTTCACGAACACTCAACTATAACATAGGGTGAAGCTTTTGAGTGTACCCAGTTTCCAAATTTTTTGCATGTAATATACCTACTCCCTGTTCATCTTGTATATTCATTCTTCACATTTCCACATGCAACATGGTGAGAAAGACCGGGGTCAGTGGGGCATGCCCTACTGTTTAACGCTGTACGGTGATATTCTTCTGATTGTTTATCGAAGGAATAAAGAAAACTAAGACTTAACGTTTCTGATCGTGTATCTGTCAAGGAGAAAAAGTTCCAAAACAGCTCCTAACTGAATGGTTATGCTAATTTAATGAAAGTGTAGGTTTCGCTTCAGTATTGCTAATAGAAGTTTGGTTTATGGTAAGTAGTTGCCTTTTTCAGAACAGTTTCAGTAACAGTAGATTCGAATTATTGGTCGCGCATTATCAACGCTAGCCTCATCATCGTTATTATTCCATGCGAGCGCTGTTCCTCCTGGATTGTTAGTTATTGTTGTCAACGGCAATGCATTTATACCGAGACACAACTGTGATTTAAACCGGGTATGTCAGACAGGCCGCCCGATTATCCGGGAGCTGACTCCCAGCGGCTTGCTTCGCACCAGCACTACACTACGCAACGTGATGAAGTACACACTCGTCACACTCGGTGGTTGACGACTCTTCGACGTCTCTTCCTAACATTGGCTTTCGTGAGTCTAAGAGATTTCTTAAACTCACTCTCAAACAGTGAGATACCGCCGCGGCTGTCATTTTTGCTGTGGTAGTTGCAGGTCACTGAATTTGGCAAAACAAAATACTATAGTCATTCTGACTTGCTTGCGCTTTCGGTGAGATGATTCTATGCTCCGGTCGTGATCAGTTGTGTCTCCGCTCCCATTATTCACCACAAATGATTGGTCTGACTAGAAGAGTTTCCATGTAATGTGAGATTATACTGACTTGGAATACGAAGAATTCATTTTATACGAGAATAAGGTATGCCGCAGTGACAAACTGTTTATAGATACTTGGCAAAGTCGTGAGAACCAGGGGTCTAGACGCAGTAAAAGTATAGTGGAATGTAGAAGACAGTATACATTAGATCAACCATTAAAGGGAGCGGGGATTTTTCTGCTTTTGAAATTAGTCATCGCAACACAACACGTCTTTTTATCGCAAATTATATCGTGAGTAATAGTAAGAACTTTTGACAGAAAACCATATACAAAATCACCAGCGCGTTTCTTAATTTCAGATAAACGTGTTCTTGGAAAAACCGGAATGACAAAAACCATCCAAATGTAGTCATGTTTATAGAGAATCACCTTTCTTCTGCATTTGAACCACGCCATTTCCATCCATAAGACTATTCTTTCTGAAACACAGTTTGGTAGCCCAGTAACTGGATTTTTCGATTTACTCCGTGATAATAGTTTCCATCGTGTTCTTGCCTTTCCGACTGGTCATTTGACGTTTTCCGTAAGATCTTCCAAACATAAGATATAAACGGTAATAGTGGTGACCTAATTAAGCTTGTGCTGGTCGCCGCTAAAAATGCTCAATTTCTCCGTTTTTCTGGCGATGACGGTTTGAGAATTCCGTAGTGAATAAATGTGTCGTTGCTGTTCGAGGCAACAGTTTTTTTTGCATCCCGGTGTTGCCTGTCCCTCAAAGGCTGTGCTAATTATCTATGTGTGGCGAGGTTATATCAGTACAATTTGTTTTGCTTCAGTATTGGTGAGTTGAGACGTTCAGTTATTTGTGCGTGAAACGTTGCTAATAAAAGTTGCTCACACAGTGTCTAGTTCTGACCAAGTTGGTGCCAACAATAAACATGACCGCACATAGTCTTCAGTACCGCATTGCTAAAATTCATTATAGTGGGTCAGTAAGATTTGAACTGAATGGGCCATCATACTGTGGAGTCATGATGAACACTTGTACTCAAATGGGGTTGGAGAAGAGAAAGTAATCGTTGGGTTTAGTTTATTCACATGCTTTTCGCATATTTTCTCATTTTATCAAGAACAGAATTTGTAAGAAGTGGGGACTATTGTAATATTCAAGGGATGTTTTTAATCCGTTTTTCTGCCAGATGAGTATTGGGGAAACATAAAATGAGAATTTTGTAGACCTGTCAGGTCCAACAAACACGTGTGCTGCGGGGGAAATTCGTCAGACGTGAGTCCCAGTGAGAAATGAAGCAGACATGCAACAAGCTGTCAGCCTCGATCAGATAAGTAAACATGTGGCAGGAAGAATATTGAACTCGAGCAGGCACGTTTTACATGCAAACTCCTTTCCCTATCAAACTACCACCTTTAGCATCGCTTACTCGCTATGCGCATTTCACATTTTGTCTTTTCATACAACAGTAGTACAACAAATGATTCCCAAATTGACACAAGACCAATAGTGAGCTACCGAGGTTATTGTTTCCGGAGATGGCATCATTCCAACCTTGGGTCGTGAGGTCATATATCAACTAAGAAGACACTTTGAACAACGCCACACGTACAATGAGACTGATGATTGATAGAAAACACAACACTTTTTAAAATGACTGTTCAATCAACAGTAACAGATTAGTTTGGATGAAGCTGTAAATGTGCATTAGCTAAATAAGTGCAACAATAAACTGCAGTTCACGTTTCCACCGGTGTTCCAGTGATCAATCCCACACGTTTTGGTATTCGATCCGCCAATTCTTTCTCCCAACGATCAGCAATATTGCACTTCATTGGACCATTATGTGCAAAACCAATACACATGCAAAGCTAGTGACGAATTGGCACCATATCAGGCAAAACTGTTGTGCAATAAACATTTGACGGTCATCTTGGATAGTATGGACTCGAAATCCCGAGTTTCCAATCCACCAGCAAGACTCCAGTGATTTATTGTTGGACAGAGTAGTAAAACAATTTTGATACCCAATCAGCTGGCCAAATACTGCATGTCAAATCATACTGAGTTAATAAGTCGGCAACATGAAATAAATAAATAGCAATTTTTTTACTTCTTATTTGTTATACATCATCAATCCGATGACTCATTAGGGCGATAACTTAATCATAAAGAAAATTTGCCAAGTCCATGCACACACTACCACAGATTCGTGTTTTTGAGACAGAAGAGGCAGCTAATGCAGTGACTGTCCAATAAATTAATTAAGATATGTTCGATAAAGAATAAATGAAAGGATGAAATCATTTCTCATCCAGTATATACAATCAATAATAACACGAAGAATTATGATAGCAGTCGAAAAGCAATCTGTCTACCCATGAATTGAATTTAGAAGTAGCAGTGAAGCAGGTTTGGTAAACAGTCGATCTCAATCGCCCGTTGTCCATATTCCAAGTCCGAACGATGTTATTACACTGCCAAAATACGTTTAATTCACCTCTCGACTATTTCTCATTTTGCAAATGAGAGGCAGAATATCCGTGCATTCCAGCTCTCAGTGTGGGGCAGATGACGTAGGTCGAACCACAGGAAGACCATCTGGACGCATAAAGGCGTATCATCTGAGTTGGTTAAACAAGAGACCAGTGAAAAGTGGTCAAATGACATTTGCCATCTATTCGATAGAATCGGATCATTCGATCAATACTAACTGAGTCTTTCTTCCCATATAAACTGTCAAAGTAAGATCAGCAAAAATGCCAAAAGGCTAGATCTCGGCCACCGCCGATTGAGTCTCAATTCGCACGAAACAACACCACATTATGTGGTCAGAAGCAACATTTTCGACCTCTGAATCTATCCAGGTCATCCACACATAATAATGTTACGTAATCACAAAACCCACGCAACTGACAGTTATCAACAGAATATCTGTCGTGACACTGATAAAACCACTACTGTATGGACACGAGTTTGTCAATTGCAGTAGTCGAGATTGTCGACTGTCTTTCTGATTTTCTATCATCCAGTGTGCAAAATCTATGGAGCGTGCAATATTTTATCACATGTGGGACAATAACAGCCAGTTGTTTTGCTACTGAGTGTTCTGATGTCTCAGTCGAAGGTCATCACTCAAAATAGTATGTGAGGGATAAACCTGTATGGGAAAAAACTGGTCCTCTTCGTCCAATCGGTTCACTTGCATCAGTTTTGATTTTCGATGTCCGAATTCTGTTTCACGATAACAAAATGAGCTTTTGGGTGAAAACAATCGCCCGGAGCGACCAAGAGAGATGATCTGATGGGAATCGATGTTAAGAAGGAATGAATAATAGTATCTGATGATTTAAAGCACACAGCTTTAAGAAGTCCAATTTCTGAAACGTTTATGTGCTGTCTGATTGGCGAATTGGACTCGAATTTATAGGGGATTCGAAGTCATTCGGAAGAACCCCTTTGTCACATTGGTGCATCCATTCCCTATTTCGTCTCCACGTTTCCCAATTGTGATTCCATTTTTTCTTTGCTCTTTAAAACCATCATTGTGACGATATAAAAGTGGCAATTCCAAAATGTCACTCTACACTCAGAATTTATTCGAAATCTGGATATATATGGCTTGATTCCATTCGGTACGTGACTAATCTCAAAAGATACGTGCGTGGGATATGCCGCACGTTTTATTCTACGAGACTCTTGCCTATTCGAAAGTATTAGTAGACTATTTTCATGTGTTCGTACATGATTGTAAGTAATTGACCGATGAGTGCTAGTATGAACTCAAAGGCTATGTATTCTAAGTACAGATTGCATTTCTTGTTGATGCAATCATTCTTTATGCAAACATGAAGCGATATTCAGTAAAGCTCAGTTCAGTTCAGTTCAGTTCAGCTCTCCTCAGCTTGGTTTAGTTTAGTTTATTTTGTTTCAAACACCTAATATTCACGAAGTGGTTATGGTAGTTCTCGTTTCTATCTCACAACTGGAATCTCAACTGGAACTCAGACAACCAATAGTACAAAAAATATTGGGGGAGAACTACGAATAATTCTATCAAATAGATAAATAATTCATTTACAAAAACGCTATTCGAATGCATTAAACCCCTATGTAACAGCACACCCAGGAAGTCTATTATAATTCACATGGCCTTTCCATACCTTTCTTTCATATCATGTCATAGACTGGCCAATTTCTCTGGTCTCTTCTATCAACTACCTTCCTTAGAGAAAGTAGCCCTCCAAGTTGTCCTATCCAGTGATATGTAGGACACAAGTCACAGCCACATTGGGCTGATGAGCTTTATTGTTTCATCTAGTGGCTTGTTCTGTGCACCCGATACACTGCACCAATCCTCAGTAATAAGAAAACAATATTCACGCCGCATTCTAGACCAGTGCCTGAATTACCAATCGACTATTTGAATTGATTTCTCTGAATTTATTATCACACTAGATGAAACAGTCCGCAACGATATTTTCGGCAAATAAATGGATGATGTTTTATGCTTAGAACAGAAGCCCAGACAAACGACCGATTATATAGAGATATCTACGAGGAGTGATTTTGTCGCTTTTCAACAGACGAGAAATAAATACGGCAGATTAATATGGAAACACGGGAAGAATACACTGATATTCCAATGGAGAAATAACAGACTGCGAAGCGTTGAACTGTTGGATTTCACAAATTTGAAATGGCATTTGACGCATTCTCTAGAAAACAAAGCTGGTATTCATATACCCATAAGGTATTTCTTAAACCAAGAAATTTCCTATGATTTACACGTGTAAGAGTAGTACATGTTAGTGGTGTTGTCTCCGATAAAACGTGATCTCACAGTAGAAAGAATGCAATCTTGACATTTGTGATTGCTTATCAGAAGACCAGACCGCTCGAGACTGTTTGTACATGTGAGATATTTTCATGAAACTGAAATAAATCAGACTTCTGAGAGATAGACTGAGTCAAAACAACGTCATTGGCTTACCTGAATAGACGAGCTGAGTGATTACAGCTAAGTGACTGATGTAAATGTTCAATAGGACTTGAGAAAGACCAGCTCCTGGAA